AGTTTTGCTTTTCACTTTGGAAAGAGTTCTACCACCTGCTACTTCAGAATGAGCAGTGAGGGAAGCAATGGGTTCAATGAGGATGAGGGAGTCCTCTTTGGTCTCTGATAGTCTAACCTTGAAATGAATTTCACTCTGAGGGGGGATGTAAATCTGATCTATTGTTTTTGCTAATCCACTAATCTCTTGTACTGAATTGGCTATGAAATTGATATATTGCCTGTCTGAGGTGCTGTTGTTAAGTATCAAGGAATGACAGCTATAATCTAAGACTGCATCATTGTCATCAAGGAAGTTCTCACCTAGTATCACTGCCTTCGGCAGTGTAGGCAGTACATAGAATCTTTGAGAAAATTTCTGATCCTCAATGACAAAATCTAACACAACTGAACCTAACACTTTATGCAATTCGCCGCCAACACCTTTAACCTGTGGAAAGGGTGAGTTTCCAAGAGTAAGGTTTTCAAAAGCTGTGCTCAGAAAAGCAGACGAAATACAAGAAATGGATGCCCCTGTATCTACTAAACAATTTTTTGTTTTTGTGCCAAATTTTGCCTGAATTACACTTTTGGCAAGGGGCGTAACTAAAGACACTGTTGGAATTTCACTTTCAAAGTTACTTTCCATACCATACTCCATATTTGCCATGACACCTATTAGTATGTACCATACTAAATTAAAGGAAGACAAGTAATCAACAATGTAGTACTTACAATATTTGAAGACTTTTTCTTCCTTTGTTGGTGTCTTTGGAGGAGTTGGTTGTCTTTAATCCAGTGTTGAGGTCAGAGGTAGATGCAGCTTGCTTGTTATTCCATCAGATGATCACGGTTGGACATGTCCTCCAATGGGTTCTTGTAGGTGGTCGTAGTTAGTTCCTGGACTCCGTGGTTCCGGAAACGATGATTCTCCGCCAAACTATCATGGAACTGTTCTGGGTGAACAATTCCTTGCAAATGACGTGCTGGTTTTCTTGGGGAATTAGTCAGCAAAGAGCCGGAGTCACAGGAGACTAATTCCCCAAGAAAACCAGCACGTCATTTGGAAGGAATTGTTCACCCAGAACAGTTCCATGATATGGCTCTGAAGTGCTGCTATTTCACTCAGATCTTCTCGCTTAGCTTCTAGGCGTAGACAAGTCATTACCTCTCCAAGTCCATCAACTCTCCATTTCTTGACTGTATCGGCACCTTGTCACTGAAACCCAGCGACTTTCCCACCAAATTTTGGCTCTTTGATCATTTGATGAGTGGACTACTTACAGGCAATGAAACTTTATAAACTCAGCTTCTGCAACATGTCTATAATTTTGGGCATCTTTGACCCTACCCTTTTTCATTTTGGTTTTACAGCTATACTTTCGGCCATGACTGCTCACACTTTCCTTGCACAAACATAATTCCATTTATGTTATTAAAACAAATGGCTCGCAGCATGCTAGATGTGAGAAAACGTCACCAAATTACACGCTATGCCCAAGACAAGGGAGGCTACTCTAGTTTAAAACCAATTTCAGCTAACCACTAAAATATTACTTTAATTGGTATTTTATTCCAGGTTTACATAAACATATAAATCACATTGTACAAAGGAGTAATAGTAAGGCTATGTTCAATTAAAAATATGTATAAATTGTTCTCGTCATGATATAGCTGGAACATTGTCGATGTGACATTACATTTTAATTCACTCCCACATAGGAATTCTCTATGCTTATAAAAGGTGATATAGTGATTTGCTTTTGTATCTGTTAGAAGAAAAAAAGAATTAATAATCTTCATTGTTTTCATAAGGACATATATAATGAAAGTACATGTATAGTTCCTTTTGTTTAAAGAAAGAACTTACAGAATGTAATAACACTATACATTTATAGCTTGTCACACTGCATATTGTCCTCCAATTAGTGGTCACAACAGAAGAAAGTAGACAAATAGGTCCGTCTGTGAATATATATCCAAGATTCAGCATTTCCTCGAAACTGATATGTTTCCATTCACTGTTTTTGTTCTGTCTTTCCTTCTCAACGAATCTGGTCTGTACATTGTGTTTTATACAAAGTTCAAAGACCCTTGTACCCAGTTCAAGTTTCACAGGTCACAACTGATTGAAATGTGTCTCTTGACCAGCATCAACTGGATGTCTCTGATAGCACTAAAAACAGCCTGTCTATTTTCTGTCTTAATTTGTCTGAGAGTTCTTTCAGCAAAGACTTGATAAACTCTTTCATATTGGCAAATTTGGCCACCTGCAAAGCTACCTCATCTGCATTCGTGCCAAGTATTACAAGTGACTGCATTTTTGCCACTTTTTGCTTCACAAGCTAAATATTTGTACAGATTTCCACTGCTATTGACATTTGTTGAGTCTATATTTTTATTTTGACTACAAGTGAACATCAATTAGAAGGATTTGAGTTGGAATTTTGCGACCTCTTTCCAAAACATTTTTCTCCCTACACAGCATGACCAGAAGTCTCGGATGAGGCCACATTGACCACCTCTCAGTTTCTGGTGTGTGTTCAGTACGAACTGCACGTCAACAGCCTAGAGTGCCTGGTGGCCATCATGGGTCCAACATGATACCTGTTCACCAAGAACAACCATCAACTCATGGGATGTTATGGGAATTTATTATATACTTCAGTGAGAAAGACTGAGTTGTCCGAAGCTGAGAAAAGGGATATTTTCATTGTCCTGAACACAACACTTGATATTTCACTGCTGTGAACATAACACTTTGACGGGACTATTGTCATACAATAGTTACCTTCCCTCAAATTGTCTCCCTTTATCATAAGTGTCGGGCCCGTTCACAAACTGTTGACTACCTTTTTACATTAGTTCCACATTGACAAGGCAAAATAATGACAGATGGTCATTTATGTAATTCTCTAGAAAATGTTTCGTTATAAACTGTAAATTTCTCAATTAACTCGTCAATCGTTTCGCAAAGGGCCATTTATGTTACTTGTCCAGCTTGTATTCTTTGTAGTTTTTAAGAATATTTTTTGTTGAAGTTGATTTTGTATATATAATCATATCTTTTTGTATGATACAGAACTTTCGTGACCCTCAATATTTTTCGTCCCTTTGTTTATATTTTTTACAATTTTGCAAACACGAACCTTTTTTTTTAGTCGCAAATACAATTGGTGGTGAACCAATGAGAGAAACATGATATTTCATCTGACACATGAAATATCCTCTGTATACGCTTTCTCAGAGTGCTGCAGGACTTCTGAGAGACAAAGGCAATCCAACTGCTCTTGATACCGGCTTTATTGGAAGACTCCAAGGAGATCCCATATTGAAACTCCCTATTGGGAGAAGATCATCAATCCACAATTAAAGCAGGTTTATCCAGCTCCAATGTTTACCGGTAGCTGTTGTTCATGTGGACTTCAAACCTATATGTGACAGCCTTCTACTCACCAGCTACTGGCCAGTCCCCAGATTCCAGAAAATCATCACAGCTCTCGATATAACAGATATGCTGAAAGTTTCGAGTTGGAAGACCAGAAGAGGCCTATAGCCTGGTATCTTATCATGGTCCACCAACATCTGGCAAAGGAGCCAGAGGAGCCACTGGAAGAAACAGCCATACAGTTCATGATGCAGAAGATGATGTTCCTTATCACCTTTGCCACTTTATCTCACATTGGGGAAACGCTCGATGTTACCCAAGTTTAATGCGATAGGGAATCAGATGGGAAAGCCAAGATCAGCTGGGGAAAGAACATTGACAGTTTTCTATATAACCACTGCTGTCATTGATCCAAGGGCAAGATGATCCAGAAGACTTGTCACTGTGTGCAGTCTGGTTCAAATGCTGTTACGTACCTCGATGTTAAGGGCCCCATCCTAAAGCAGAGGATGCTTCTTATATTCTAAGTGATTTTGTATGTCTTGTTATTAGCTGCAACTTGGGATTTTGGACATCTGAACATCACATATCATGATGCAACACAGGTACCTAACCATGGAGCAAGAGCTTTCCTTGTGAAAGTACGGATAACAAAGCTGATTTAGTCATGAGGGGCACTTGATGAGCTATTAGTCTAACCCATGATGTAATCCAATCCAGGTCACCAATATACAGATCCCGCCCCTGGCTGTTGGACAAAATTACAATATTTTGTGTCAGGATTAGAAATAATATGCAGCTGTGTGATCAAAGTAAAGAAGGAAATTGCAATATGTTCATCAGTTTAAGGATAATAATGTCCTGAAATGATAATTTAATATTGTGGTTTGTGCAAATTCAATATTGTGTTTCTACTTACTATATGCATGTCCAAAGTATTAAAAATTTTTATTCACATGTACGTGTTTATGTTACACCTACAACTATCCCTTGTAAGGTTTCAAATTCCCCCTCTGGGCATGCACACAAGAGCCTATTTACCCATAAGCCCTGTGTCTCTCCATTCTCTCCCAAAGCTAGAAGGACAACAAGACTTGCTACAATAATTGCCATACCCGCCAGCTCACCCTATCTTCACCGGCTTAGGTCTTCACCTTTGTACCAATTTGCTGCTGCTTTGTAAATATGTACATTTTTGTCAATTTTGCCTTTTATTATCAGGGGCTGACTGATTGGCCTTTCATTGGCCAGGCTATTTCCACTCATCTAGAGTGTCCTTTTCTCCCCCAAGTCTACACCAGAGCTCAGGTCGCAGCCCGGGTCCGCAGACCACCGTCCGAGCCGCCGCAGCGGCCCCAGGACCCTCGCCTAGCTCTCGGTAGTTCCCTCTCCTTGTAATAAGCTATCACCAGAGCTCAGGTCGCAGCCCCGGTCCGCAGACCACTGTCTGAGCCTTGTAGCGGTTCCAGGGCAGCACCTAGCTCTCGGTCAGCCCTCGTCTGTGATAAGAATCAGTCAGCTCCCAAGTTCGTGCCAAAACCATTATGATGTATGTGTGTTTTTATCATGTATATTAAATCTTTTTCATTCTATCTCATTGCCTGTTGTGTTTGCACAAAAAATTCACATTTCAGGTTCATGAGAAAGCAGCAGGTGGTTGGTGGTATGTTGAGATAGATGGTCATGAAGGCTGGGCACCATCTTCTTACATAAAAAAGTCTTCCATAAAGGTAATCTATGGCAGTCTAGTGTATCACAAAGCTTTCTTTGTGCTACTACCAAGTATAATCTTCTTTTAAATATTATTAGACAATGTTATTCTCTTACTTTCAAAAACTCTCTTTCACTTTATGTGCTGCATCTCTGTAATTAAGCAGCCCACACATTCAAACTTTTTTCTAAACACATTTGTACTAGGTATCTGACAAGTAGCAAGTTAATTTATTAAATAATAAATCTTCTCAAACCATTTCTGTTTGCAAATACTGTAACAGTTTGAAGAAAGACTTGATTAAAATATCATCATGACGAACACATGAAACAAATTACTGTCTATTATCTAACAAAGTAACATCATTAGTAACTTTAACATTATGTGAGTATGTGACTTGTTACACATGACAATAATCTTTAAGAGAAATACTGTTATATTTACTGTAATTTTAAAAACTGAGATGCAAAATTAGTACATGAATGATTATGAAATAGGTCACAATCAGACTCTTCCAGCCTTTTCCAATCCAGATTATAACATAATCATAACATGAAAATGTAAGGGTTTTCAATTCATCTTATGACATAACATACAGTATCCATCTTTTATCAAATAGGTATGAATGGTTTCAAACATGGCATCACATTATTGGGATTGAGAGGGAAACAACAGTCATGGATACTCAAAGGTTGTAGATCTCACACACACATGTGCATTGCTTTACTGGTAAAAAACTCTTAGGATTTCCTATCCAATGGTTTCCATGTACCAAATGTACTTAATTCTTGTGAATACCCTACCTCTATTACATCATTGCCATAAATTCCTGTTTATGCTGAAAACCACACTATAATTTTTGTATAAATTTTCAACAGACGTCCTCTTCACTGCCAACATATCTAATAGTTGTGAGGGAAACTCTATCCCTCGCCCGGGGCGCCACTGCGCATGCACAAGGCGGGAATCTCCTCACTTCTTTCATGTGTGTCCAGATGACAACAAGGAAAATTTTTGTTGCATACATCCGTACACATGATTGCTGTTCCACACTTACAAGCACACTAGATCTTCTCAAGCTTCACTAAAGACAAGCAGTGAGCAGTTCTACAAGCTGAGAACAGGGGTATAAGAAGGCTGAAAGATCTAGTAAGTAATTAGTTAGAGAACGTGTTGTGGGATGAGATCTTCATCTCAAAAACAGATACCCGTCTGTTCAGGCTGTGGGCAACATCAAATCCCTGGTGACCCTCACCCTAGATGCCTATCATGCAAGAAAAGACATTGCACATAAAAATCAAGATGCAGTTTTTGCGAACCTTTGTCGAAGGAGAAGTTTGAAAAACTTTCCAAGGCATGGCTCAACGATCCTGATTACAAAAAGAATACTAGAGCATCAGCTAAATATTCTTCTGCTTCATGTAAAAAAGTGATTAAGTCAGCTGTGACTACTGAAAATAATCACGTAGGTTACAAGCGAGTGTCGCTTGGGGACGCCATCTTGCCTTCTGAGGAGAAGAGATCTCGTCGCTCATCCCACTCTCCCAATATAGTTAAGGAGCCGATGTACCTTTCAGACTTTAATGTAGCCTGTAACGTACATACGGTAGCAGATGGTAAGGTGGATAATCTAGGCTTGGAAGAAGCAACTGATCTCCACTCTATGCCACGCTCCCCCTTTAACTTAAATGAGTTCATGGAAAAAATAACAAATTCAATGTCTGTTATGATTCACAAACGTATGCGATCAAATCTCATACCTAAACGAATCCGTCGCACAACCCCGGCATGGCCAAACAGGGATTGATCACAAGATTCAAAAGAGATCTAAGGCTGAATATGGCAGAACACCCTCATACAGCAGACATGCACAAGGTCACGCTGAATCAGATTATTATGAGGACAGTAGGAGAGTCATAAGAAGAGATTGAGAATCTCATAGATTACCTCCCTATCATGCACACCACAGGGTAGATTGTGAATCACAGGCATCGCATCGCAGTATGCACAGAAATACACACCAGTCACCCTCTAGCCATTATGATAGACGAACTGACAAAGCTCGTGCAAATCAGGATAGAATTCCTAAGCGTGCGCCATCTCATACTGCCACACAGTCCAGTTATACAGGCGGAGAAAGCGAGATAGATGTTACGTCATAATCATACAGTAATAGAACATGTGATTCCCGCACTGCTAGCTGTAGATCAGACGACCGGGATTACACGACCCTCAGCCATATGACCCACTCCCAGGGCAGCCTGAGTAGGGGGTGCAGATCTGTAGCTAACACTGGTTCTTCATGCAATGGGGACTCTACTACAGAGGATAATTCTAGACAAAATAATTATTCCATTAAAGATATCATTGCAGAACTTCATAATCTAATGCCTGCCTTAAAACCAGATAACAAGTACAAAACGCCCATTAAACCCTTGTTAGAATGTGCTGGGTATGAAGAACCTGTCAGTAAGACTGAAGAATTCCATACTCTCCCCTGTCCGTCATATATTGATGACGTCATCAAGAAAATTGAAGATTCATTGAACGCTTCATTGGCACACAATGTTAGACTGGGTATGCCTGCCATTAATAAGAGTGCTTACAGGACACACGATGCCCCCTTCGCACAACAGCCAAGCATTGATGTAGATTTCTATGACCTGGTTAAGAAACCTAACACCAAAATGCACCTTGACATGGCCAAAATCAGGGACTTAGACTACATCAACAAACAGATGATTAATTTCAGTTCATACATTAACTGGATTGCAGCTGGAGTTTGCCACGTCATACCCCCAAACAACCAGAGCGAAGGTCTACCCTTAGACACCCCGACGGAGATGACACTACAGCAGACCGGATTCATTCACAGCTCACTGGACCACATACTGAAGATGCAGGAAGATCTTCAATCAGCACAAGTTTGGATGTCAGCACAGTTCCTGCTCATCCAAAGAAAACATCTACTACAGCGAGTTCATAATATGATCCCAGAGCCATTAAGAAGATCCATGCTGTCACAGCCTATTACAGCGTTGCAGATAATCAACGGAAAACTGAAGTCAGTGAAGGAAGCCATTGCATCGTCAACTAGCCAGAAGTTTCAAGAATCCACGATCTTGTTGGCATCCAGGATACAGAGACCGCCTGCAGATATTCAGCATCAACAACAGAATCCTAGATCTCGTCATGTGAATCCTGTCTGGGATTCTTTTCGAGCCTCTACATGGAAGGACAGATCGTTTCAACCCAAGTATAGGAACTCCAAAGATGATCATCCCACTTCGCAGAGAGGACGAAGCAGAGGCAGAGGCAGTCTCCGAAGGGGATACCGCCAGAAATGACTCAACCAGAAATCTGCAGACCCCTTCAGATCCTACCGACATCGCCTGCCCAATGGACAACGATTTAGAACTACAGAAGATCAAAGATACAACCACATCGAATCCAGTCGAACTAGCCGGTCTCACAGACATCGACCCAAGACTACCCAAGTTCAGCATTCATACAATCACAGGACCAGTCGGAGGTCGTTTTATGCAGTACGCAGACAACTGGAAGACCATCACAGACGACTCATGGCTGCTCGAAGTAGTAAGAAGAGGCTACAAACTTCACTTCTCAAAACGACCAAGACTAGTCATCCACCCTACCGGACCCGATTCCAGCTATCAGGACCGAAGTTAATTGCAGCAGAAGTGGCCATACAAATACTACTTGCAAAAGGAGCTATCAGCATCTTAAAGGAGTCAGACACCACTCACGGATTCTACTCCCCAGTATTCCTGGTACCGAAGAAGAATTCTTCAGAGATGCGATTAATCATAGACCTAAAAGTCCTGAACAAAGATTATCTGGAAAAACCACCCAGTTTTCAGATGGAATCTATTGAGAAGTTGAAGAATGCCTTAAGACAAGCAGATTGGATGATAAGCATAGACCTCCAAGACGCCTATCGTCACGTCCCTATCCATCCAAGTCATCGTCGGTACCTACGCTTTGCAGTCAACGGTCAGAGATACCAGTTCAGGGTACCCTATTCGGCATATCCATCGCCCCATGGTTATTCACCAGGATTACCAATCTCATCATCGGATTCGCCCACATAAAGCTCATAAGGCTACACGAATACATAGACGATTTCCTATCGGCCGATCAGGACAAATCGCAAATCAGATTAAATACAGTGTGCCTCATCCAACTACTAACACACTTAGGATTCCTGGTTCATCCTAAAAAATCAGAACTTGTACCCACACTGGACATCACCTACATAGGCGCAAGATTTCTACTCAACAAGGGCATAGTAACACCTCCAGAGGACAGATATGCAAGAGTAGAGCACATGATAACGAGCGCACTCAATCAGCCCATCAAATCGAGATGCTGGTGGATGTCTTGCCTCAGTAAGATCACATCTATCCAAGACCTAACCTACAGAGGCAGACTACAATTACGGCACCTGCAGAATTGGATGGGTACCACCAAAGACCAAGAGCTGGAAGCCTTAATCCAACCTCCACAAGTTCGAATCTCAGAACTTCATTGGTGACTGACTCGTCAAAATGTCATGCCAGGTATTCCACTCTCATACTCCACCCCCCTACATCAACTCTGACCCGTAAAAATTCCGGGGTAGAATAGGTCTTCAGCAACCCATGCTTGCCATAAAAGGCGACTATGCTTGTCGTAAAAGGCGACTATGCTTGTCGTAAAAGGCGACTAACGGGATCGGGTGTCAGGCTCGCTGACTTGGTTGATGCACGGTCATCAATTCCAATTGCGTGGGTTGATGCTCATGATACTAATCACTGGATTGTCTGGTCCAGACTCGATTATTTACAGACGGCCGTCATATAGCTGGAATATTGCTTAGTGCGGCGTTAAACAAAAAACAAACAAACAAACAAAACATCAACTCTACACAGATGCATCAGGAGAGGGTTGAGGTGCCCAAATGGACGATGTTACCATTCAGGGAAAATGGTCCTCCCAAGAAAAGGAGTAACACATCAA